AAGCTATCGATAGCCTGATAGCTAAGCTATCGATAGCCTGATAGCTAAGCTATTGATAGCCAAGAAACTAAGCTATTGATAGCCAGGCTATCGATAGCCTGATAGCTAAGCTATTGATAGCCAAGAAGCTAAGCTATTGATAGCCTGATAGCTAAGCTATTGATAGCCAAGAAGCTAAGCTATTGATAGCCTGATAGCTAAGCTATTGAATCAAATGGTCTTGGCTATCAAATTGTCTTGGCCATGGGCTTCCTGTGTTTTCAATAACTAAATCGGATGGGCTGCCTGTGGAAATACGAATTAGCCATGGCCTTCCTGTGTTTTTCAATAACTAAATCGGATATGGGCTTCCTGTAGATTTGTGCATTCATAAAACTGTTTTGATGTCGTGTCTTATCTATCACGTGACAAAAAATGATTGAAGGAAAGAGATATGACAGCATTAATAAGCTTGAATGCCAAGGGAACACAGAATCATTGTACTATAAGGTCCAGTATGAAATAGAACGATCGCTGTTTATATAATAAAGAACAAGATAACAGAACTAATCATTTTCAGCTGATTTTTGCATCATTAGGAAGAACTTAGTAGGTCTTATTGTTTATCGTTTATGAGTCATTAAGTGCATTGTTTGATGAGTTTGGAAGATTTACGCTTGGTTGATTGTTGCTTGGTTGATTGTTGATGGTGTTTGCTTTTAAAAGAATCATGGAAGGATGTTATCATGAATTTGCTCAACACATAATATTGTTTCAAAAAAACATTTATTTTCATTAGTCTTTTGAATTCATTGACGGTAGCGTGATATCCTCGAGAGCCTAACTGGAATAACGTAGCCATTGCGTTTCTCAAAAGTAAATTTTTAGGTTTTGCTTGCTTGCTTGGTTGGTTGAGTTTTTGAGTTAAAAATTCAAAATCCCCGCGCTCTATAAATTGAATTGGTAAACAAAAGACTTGCCCAAACTTGCCTAACAATACTCTCCCCGTCGTTTTATGGTAATGATTTAATACAAATAATTAAATCCACCGCATATGATACACGTAATGCGTGACGTATTAGAACATAATTAAATCCTCCGCAAATATACTCGAATCCACCGCAAAAGTTAGTAAATCCACCGCAAAAAACAGGCTCSTGCCATCCCTACCCTACTACTCAAGCAACGGCACTTTTTACTCGACAAAGGCTACAACAATCCTCTTCGCAGCACTTCACTTTCTATTAGAAACTACTAGTCTATAGATAGACTTCAGCACGTCCAAAAGGCAGCCGCAAAGGTTGTTGCCTTTTCTAGTAATTTTGACCATATCACTCCAATTCTCCAAAACTTGCATTGGCTAGCTGTTGAGTTCCGTATAAAATTTAAGATCTTATTGCTTAATTCTAAAATCCTACATGATGCWGCACCTCCCTACTTTTGTGAATTGGTTCAATCTTATAATCCACCTCGACCCTTAAGATCTTCTAGCCTCAATCTACTATCAATGGGTACAGGGCGTTTTCCCATGCAGCCCCTGAGTTGTGGAACTCCCTCCCAACGAACATTAGAGCCCTTAATTGTCTATCAGGTTTTAAGAAAGATCTTAAATCTTGGCGCTTCCGGAAAGCGTACAATAACCATCTTAGCTAATTATCATTACCAGTTTATTCTATGAATATATTGTTTCTTTATTTTCATTTATTAATTTAATACTGTTTTGAAGTTTAAGCTTAAAGTCTTTAAAGCGTTGTTGAATCTTGTAGAATTGAAGCTAAATAAAATAAAGGTATTATTATTATTATTATTATNNATTATCATTGTTATTATTATTATTATTAATATTATTATTATTATTATTATTATTATTATAAGAGAATGTATGCAAGAATGTATGAAATGGCAATAAAATGTTTCACTCAACCATTTACTTGAAAGTTTGCTGCAGTCGTCGCTTCTACCTTTTTCAGTCTTCTGGTGTAGTTYTAGCGGGATTTAAGGCTGTTTAGTGGGTTTTTCCAAAATCCGCTTTTCTCTCTCAAAATAATGGGAAGTCGGTAGACTTAGCACCTGATTTCGACCATATCACTCTTTCCCCTCGAACCGCAATAAAGATGCAACATATGAAAGAAATGATAATTTTTCTATTATTACGTGTATTCYGAATGCCATCACGCCAAATATTTCCAGAAAAATCCATGCTTGATTTCTTGTACAGCTTGTGATCGATGGGGTTCAAACAGCCGTTCTTGAACAGGTTTTGTTAAATGCTGCATTCTTATTGGCCGAACATGATAACCTCCTCAAGACAAATCACGTTCGGCCAATAAGAATGTAGCACGTAACTAGATTAATAACGAGAATTTTTAAAAAAAAGATATTCCAGAGGTGTGATAACGAGAGCCATCCGGCAAAGTTTGCTAATCTTGGAAAAATTTCTAGCGCCCAAAAATGGGCCGCCGGGGCGTCAAATTCAACCAGCTGTTACCTGACCGCTTCTTAGCTTAAAAGCTTACCACACTAAATAAAGATTCAGGTGGGGTTGTTGTTATATTATCGCCAAACCCCTTCCCCCACCGGAACAAGCGCCAGTACTTTCCCAACTCTCAACATGTATATGATATGGCAGTAGTTATCCGGGATTGTGTAAGTTGATGTTGAAAATAAAAAACACGAGTATTTGAAAGTTTTTTGTTGTTTTTTTGTCATTTCTAAACGTACTCAAAGCTTACGTGGAATGGCTCTTAAACCCTTAATTTAACTTAATTTTCCATTAGGCTTATGCAAAACATGATCTGTTTATTTAATTAATTAACTTTAGGGCCTGCCACTGTGTCTAGTTCAGCCCCGCTATGGACGAACAATCCTTTTTGATAGCATAAGTCTGCTGAGATCCGCTTTAGTCTCAATATTTCTAGTTGTCATCAGACCTTTCTCATCCATCTGGATGCCCCAACCTTCTTGTAAGGCATTTTTACACGAGAGGATCGCTCCCTCGCACCAGGCACGCATTGGATTGTACGCTTCTCCAACCACAAAAAGATCTAGCCCATTTAGTGGTCGTTTGGCCCAGTTACTTATGTCAACCATCGTGAAAGGTGTGCCGGCCTTCTGGAAATGCCTGTGAACATGGAATTGCTTGAAATTACAGGAAATGCTTACTGGGGAAAGTTTACTGACTAAAGMTGTTACTCTATTTGGTTTCTTAGTATATCTCCAAGATTTAGGMTTATGATGATGTATATTTGTTGTGGTCACTTTCTACCAAACACATTGCACTTTCTCTTCGCGACAAAAAAAGGTTCTAATGAGGTTGAGAAATCAAAATTTCTCTCTTCGACACMAAATGAAACTATAAAATAACTATATAATACGTAGATTTACACGTATATAATACGTAGATTTATACGTGTATTTAATAACCATGAATATTGCAACCACGACCGAAAAATACGGTCCAGTTAATATTCAAATACGTATTTACTCATTTATGTCAAATTAGATATATGTGTTTGTCTCTGGCAACTATGAAGAGACACTGGCTAGTGCGGTTTGATATTCCTGGGTATCTGACGCGGCTCCCTCCCCCCCACCCCCAAAAAAAGAATTACTAATGAATAAGGGAAAAAGAGCAATAACTATTGCCCTTGTCACAAGCTACCCTCCCAATAAAATTAAAAGTATCAGTCAAAAATTAAAAGTAAAATATAAAGAAAGGCGTATCTTTATTTACCAAGCAGAGTCCCAGTATTGKTAGCTGGTGTTTAGAGGTTTAGGAATCTTTATTCCATACTTYGTTTCCAATGCTCGGTGAACTTCAACATCAATATAATTCTTGTCCATAGTAGCGATATCGTTCCATTTCCTGGCGCAGTCCCCATCAGAATACATAGTATGAAGCACACCTTCTCCTTTCAAACCCTTGTCTCTGCATAAAAAAGATATAATTCTTTTAAGAACTAAATGTGTATACAGTGGTCTCAATGATGTTTCTGTTCAATTAAATTGACAAGGTTACTCGTGCGGACAATTTGGTTCGTAATGAAGTAAAATGGGCGTAAAGATCAAAGACATTAAGACCAGAGGGTCTTAATGACAACACTTTCTACAGCCAAATCCAAAGACGTCTTAAAAGAAATTATTTTGTAAATTTTGAGCGTGTGCATTARATTTACGGTTGTAAAATGCGCTTGCATGCGTTACTTCTCGTGAAAGCCTCAGTTTTGAGAGGTACCAGCCATTCACCCTGATGAAGGCTCTTTTGTATAGCCGAAATACAGGTCTTGCTTAGAAAATATCGTCTTTTCTCTTGTTTCATAGTATATTTCTGCCTGAAAAGTCTTTTCTCAGCTAGTTGATGCTTGCTTAAATATATATACAGCGCTTTGCAAAAWTTCTGCAAATGAAAAGAATGTCTATATGTCGGGTGCATCATGGRTATTTTTCAACTTGAAAATCTTTTTAATAAAGGTTTAACACAATATTTTTTGTTAAAATATAATCATAGTATACAGTGGGAGCACTTATATCAGATATTTGGATGGCTTTTGATTGAAAATCGTTATATTTAAAGTGAATTTGGAAATAGTTCATATATCGATATGTTGATATATGAGTTTTGCAGAATTTATCAATTTTATTTAGCAATTATTCGCCGGAAGTGAATATCTGGGAATATTTACCGAGACACGAGTATTCTCCATATTCACTGAGCCTGAGACGAATACTTTAGCATATACCAACTTGTGTTCAGAGTAACTTATTTTTATATACAATAATTCAATAAAAACAAACAAACAGAAACTTTTAGTTTGCGTGACAAATTCACGCAAAACGTTTAGCAAAACTTTTAGGCCATACATCGTTGCCTTTTTAGTATTTATAGCAATAGCATTTACTTTAATTTTTTMAATTTCCTTATCGGAAATTGTAGCAAAACGATTGCCGGCAGATGCTATTTTGTTGCCGACTCAATACATCGTACATTATTATTCACCTCAAATTAACCAATGAGCGCGCGCGATCTTAGGAATTGCATAAGTTGGTATATGCTAAATATATATATATATATACCCGGTCTAAAAAATTCTGACATTTATCGGATATATATGCTTATAAGTAATACCATCTCACTCGGGAAGTTAGTGATTAAATTCCCCCTAATACCTCGGGAGAATTTGTAAAAGTCCCACGGGCGCAATRCCATGATCACCGAGGAAATAAGGAACAAATTGCGGTTTTAGATGTTCGGCTTTTCTAGGTCACGGAAGCGTAAACAACGAAAGCATTCACAAACTCTCATTAGCATGTATGAAATGAAAATATGGTTTATAAGTAATACCATGGAACGAGGGAAATTATAAATTAAATTTCCCCGAATAACGGGAAAATTTGTGGACTAAAACAAAAATAGAATCTAAAATCAAGTTGTCATTTTCAATTTATCTAATGACTGAGAATGCGCAGATTTGAGAACACGTCCCACATGGAAMCTGTGCAGTAATATCATTAGTAGGATAAGTTGTAATAGATTCAGTTGCACGGGCATTGARTTGTCCCTGAAGGAGACGAGGCATKAAACGTCAATGATTTGGGGCTTTGGCGCACGGTCAGCTATTCATCTAACGATTTGAATTGCATTTTAGCGGAGCACCATAGGTATAGAATATGGTAAACTATGCAACTCAGTTTATCGTGGTCATCGCATGGGAACCCTGTGCGTAACGCTAAATGTGCCGACCTCCAGGTGTACCTAGCGTTTCTAATTGGTCGAGCTTGCTTTCAAATCACACGTCACTTGGAGCATGACGAACGAGCGAAAAAAGTGTACACTGTACTTGTTTTGTCATTATATGGTAAGAGTACTCGTAGTTCTTAAATAACGTAGTCATTTGAGAAAGCACTTTTTGAATTCCACAAATTTTGTTGGGAATGTGTACAAAACTCCTAAGTGGGAGAGTATTCCGCACAAAGAAAACAATGTAGTACATTTTGATTCGAAGAAAGATTTCGAAGAAAGAYTATAACCACGCAGAGCGAAAGAAGTGCTATTTCTCAAGGATCGGGTAAAATTTCGAGGCTATATTTCACGTTTCAATGATTTTATTKAAATTTTTGATGAAKCCCCATACATTTCCTTATAACATGACAHCACAGAAACCAAGCTTGGGCTACCTGTGTCCAGATTCRTTGAAATTGGTTTTCCTGTACCTTGCTCCGCTTTTAGGCAGTGTCTAAATCTATATATTAGTTTCGTTAATGCTCTTTTGAGAAAAGCAACATTTGTTATGAGTTGATCGATATGTCGTTACTTCGAAAGTTTACTTCGATCAATTATGGCCTAAGATGGCSCATTGTTTTACATAAATTTGGCTATAACAAATCTTCACAATCAATTGCGAGAACATTGAGAATCTCTCTTTCTACRGTAAATAGAGTAGTTAGACGATGCAAAATCGTTAAGGTTTTAAGAGCCGACTTTAATTCCCATATGAGAGTAGAACAAAAAACGTTATGTAACTGTTTTACTTACTGATCTTGAACAAAGGCAACCCAATTCCACGATGAAATAATTATTCCCTTCTTCTGGGGCGCACGGACTTATATGAACATATTTAATCATTTATTGTTGTGGTGTAACGCTCAACCGTATATACTAATCCGGGTGAGACAAAAGAAAAATGGTGACATATGTATATAAGTATATATATATATCCGATAAATGTCAGAATTTTTGAGATCAGGTGTGTATATATATATATATACACAGCGATATGCAGAAATTCTGATCCAACCAAGTATATAGTATAAAACTATATCGGGGTGCATTATGGGTAATAGACCCGCGGGATCCAAGCTAAGTACCAAAGCGTTGCTTAGCGTACCGAGTGTTGTTTATGAATAGCGCTATAGTCAAGAGGCGGGAATGTGTTCACTTTTTAATATAAAAAATGTTATATTGTAAACGGTTTTATTGATGTAAAGTGAAACATTGGAAGCTTTGCAATTCTTGGTTTTCACCTACGTCATCATGGATTTCAAAAGCGTAAATTCGCATTATAATGAAA